TGCAACCATCAACCAGTTAACCAAGACTGCTAAGCTGCTAAAGGGCAGGTAGTGTTTAACATGAGGATACCCTGGACAGAGAATGAGTCCTGGCCCAGGTGGAATCAACAGGGATAGTTCAAGATTTCATCACGCTATTCAGAACAGCATGCAATTTATAACTTAAGCTTTGTTAATTTCTTGAAATATCAATTTATTATTTTTGAACCACAGTTGACTACAGGCAACTAAAACTATAGAAAGTAAAACATGAAAACACAGAGACGGGGCAACTACCACACTCTTTATTGGGATTCATTCAGAATTTACAATATATGAGCCTTTAAATCTATGTACAATCGGCTTTGTCTGGGAATAAGGTGCAAGCAAATGAGTCAATGTCTTATGCTGAGAAATTTCTCAGTAATTATAGAGCAATAACTTTGCCACTAATGTCTAGCACAACATAAGTTTTTGCCCTCTTTTACCCATTGGGATCTCTATTAAATTTCATTTATATCATTTGCTCTCCATGTTCTTCACTTAAATTTTCCACCTGGGCTCCCATATGACCTGAGAAACCAAGTAAAGAGCAGGGGTCAAAGAAATAATATTGTGCATTTAGTGTGGTTGGTTTGGAAAATTGAGGAATGGATTCAGACATAAGGAACTTGGCAGGCAGGACAGTTCTAGATTACTCCCATTTCAATGAAAATATTTTTGTTTGTTTGTTTTTGCCCTCATTTATCTGTGGATATCTCTATGAAATTTCATTTGAAGAAAATGCCTAACTATAAAAAAAAGTTCTAGGTATGAACAACCATTTGGAAACTTTGGATATGATCTAACATATATGCCAGAAATGATTCTTTCTGTTTCCTAGGAAACTGTCTCAGAAATTATTAAATTAACTTGATAAAAAACAATGTTTAAGAATGAAAAAAGAGTATATCTGAGATTCAGTTAATTAGAGATCAAATATAAATTGAAAAAAAAGAAGAATCAAACTATTAGCTTTCTATCTCAGTCTGGATTCTACAGTAAGATACAGTAGTGCTTCTGTGCTTCACAGAATACTAAGTAAGCAGAATGACCCTGAGGCCTGATTGAGTGTAACTCCAAGTGCCTTTGGACTTTGCCATAGACCTTGGGACCCTACCCTAGGAGCTCCTTTAAAAGGCATTCTATAAGGATGCACGCAGTACTAAGTTCTATGGTTTTCAATAACACAGAGACCCATACCCAAGGATTCTTGCTAATTTTACATTACATTGTAATGTCATTGACTACACCGATATGTACATAAATAACACTGCTTTCAGTATTAGCTTTTCTTGAAATATAACAGACAATGAGCTTTCTGATTCTCACCAAAGTCCCACTGTAAGTCATGGCACTGCCAGGATAGAAGAACTCAAAAATACTGTGACAATATATTAGCAACATACTCCAGCTTTGGAAGTCACGTTCTGCCCTTCTTAACAAATAGCATGTGATTCCTTCCAAAAGCGACACTTATCCCTGGCACAATGTCAGGGACTACCTGGATCTTCTATCTGCTTCAACTGTGCTGACTCACACGACCTTTCTGAAGATATATTTGGTTCATTTTTCTAATATCAAACGTATTCACCCATTGTTCTTAACAAACAAAAGAGAATGTGACAGTTCCCTGGTCTCTGGTGCTGTGAAGCATTTTAGGGAACATTTTTTGCCAAGCCCTCCCTTGCACTGTCATGCCTCCCTTTCTACAGGACTCCACAGCTTGCAGCATCTTATTCTAGCTTCTACCTTAATGAGGAGTCTCTGACCCTGTCCCTGAAAAAGTAGGCTTTTAAGAAAGTAATTAATATTTCTCATTCCTCTAACAAAGCTTCTTAAAGAAACAGTATGCGTTCAAATTAGTTCTTAAAATGCACATTGTGGAAAATTCATTCACATATAGTCTAAGCATGAATAAATGTTAGGTTATGTTCTGAGTGTTGCAATCCTTTTCGTACCAGAATATTGAAAGAGAAAATCGTCATTTTCCCCAAACAGATAGAGGCTTCAAAATTTTTAATACCAAAGAAAATATTTTTTTTGTAGAAATGTAAAAAATGTGTTATTTTTTTCAATAATTCACACAATATGGCTTTATTGTAAAGTAATGATCTTACTTGAATATAGGTAGAGCAATATTTTCCTTTGTTGTGGTCACTTCTTTGGCAATCTCAACATTCTGAAGAGCAGTCTAGAGGCAGAAATAATAAAAGAAAAAGAGGAAATTCTATGAGCATACCAAATAGAAGAAATGAAATCTATATACTGAAATGTATTCAGTTCACTCATGAGGCAGACCTGCATGCTGTATATACTTACTGATATCATGCTGAATTTTCCCACATCTCCTTGTCAATTTCTAGGAATAGCTTAAATCCTTATGAATCATTAAGAGCAGAAATAAGATATTTTCCAAATAGCTAATGTCAGAGATTAATTTCTGTGGAACACAGGGTAGGAAATTGGCTTTAAGGGAAATACAAGGGGATATTTGGTAATTGGCCCCAAATTTAACTTGCTAGTAGTTGGCATTTGGATCTAAACTGTGAAAACCAAGGTCTTTAGAATAAGACCTCAATTTTAAATTAGCGATAATATTTAAGAGCCTTCAATGTGTGGAATAGCCTACCGATTTGAAGCCAAGATGTGATGACTTTTTTATGAGACTTAGCTATTAACTCGGTTCTATGTTGGGAGAAGGGATTGACCCTTTCAGAGGTAATGAAGTTTAAGGCCTGAGCTGCAGATTACTCATTCCAAAGGCTAGGATGATGTTTCTGCCTTTGTCACTTAATTTTTAATGATCCCATTTATGTTACTTGTCCTTTGGTGAACTTAATCGTAGTGTTGAAAAAACTCTAATACTTTCATAAAATGTTAGCCAGATGACGTATCTGTCTTTACTATTAAAGTGGTATGTGGGGCTGCATGCATAGGAGTCATTTTGTAACTTAATTGAAAATATACAACATGTTCAGGAGATGATTCTGAGCTTAAATCAGGTTCAGATTCAATCAGATATCTATACATTTTTAAAAATGTCTGCAGAAAAATATGAAGCATAGCCAAGTTGAGAACCCTAAATTAGAAGGAACAGCACTTCTCAGGTATGATAGAAATGATTCTGGCGTAACTTCTGAGGATCCTGCACCCTGGCATAGTCCTTGATTCTGTGACCACCATGAGCTTCCCTTCTGTGATAAGTTTCCATTAGATGACAAAGGGAAGGGGACTTTGTAGCTGTACTATCCCAAATCTGGATTTTTTTTTTCCAGTACTAGAGATTGAACTCAGGAGAACTCGACCACTGAGGCACATCCCAAGCCTTATTTTGTATTTAATTTTGAGATGGGGGGTCTCACTGAGTTGCTTAGCATCTCACTGTTGCTGAGGCTGGCTTTGAACTCATGATCCTCCTGTCTTAGCCTCCCAAGCTTTTGGGATTACAGGTGTGTGCCATAGCCACCCAGCACAAATCCAGAATTTTCAGTTTACCAATTTGAAGAAAATTATCCTGGGTGGCCTGACTTGATCAGATGGGATCTCTTACAAAGGGTCAGATAAACAGATTGGGACAGATTCTCTTTCTAGCCAGGAAGAAATAAGCAGCAGGTGTTGGGACAAGGCTACATGCCTATGTTTTCTACAACTTAGCAGTTAGGAGCTCAGAGTAAACCTGGACTGGCACATCACAAGAAAGGGGAGACTTCAGTCTTTCAAATACAGATAACCAGATTCTGCTGACAACTTAAATAAGCTCAGAAAAAGACCTTGGGTTCACACCATGAGTGTGATTCAGTATTTTCTTTATTTAAAAGTTTAAAAAAAATTAGAATTATATTTTAAAATATTAATTTCACTGCAGTTATGATTGTCTCAACTTCAAATATAAGTTTTTTTGTCTTTTTCTATAGTTATTTTTCCATGAACTAATATCTTTAGCCTCCTTCTTTTTTCTTCCTTTATTTTTTTTTCTATATACTCATGGGTTTTATTTCTAAATAACCAATATACATCAAACCTCAATGATGAAAAAAAAAAAAAAAGCCTGCCCATGCATCCCACACCAAGGTTGAGATGTGAAAGTTGTTCCCTAAAGAACAGAATGTTACCCTGAGGCCAGTTGACACATAGTTTCTATGGCTACACAGGGAAATAGATTTTAAAACTGGGTTATAAGATGGCCAAAGTGAGCATTCTCACAAGTGCAGTTAGAAATAGGACCAAGTGTGAAAAGCCAAGAAATCTCAGTGCCTGGATGTCTCCGCTTATGTCTTCTGTTCATGTACTTCCTAGCCTCAATTCCTCAGCTATCCACTCGTTTTCACTTTTATTCATTTTTTAAAAATATTTTTATTGATTTATTTATATATGACAGCAGAATGTATTACAATTCTTAACACATAGAGAACACAATTTTTCATATCTCTGGTTGTATACAAAGTATATTCACACCAATTCGTGTCTTCATACTTGTACTTTGGATAATGATGTTCATCACATTCCCCATCATTTCTAACCCTATGTTGCCTCTTCTCCCCTCCCCACCCCTCTGCCCTATCTAGAGTTGGTCTATTCTTCCCATGCTCCTCCTCCCTATCCCACGATGAATCAGCCTCCTATATCAGAGAAAACATTTGATATTTGTTTTCTGGGGATTGGCTAACTTCACTTAGCATTATCTTCTCCAACTCCATCCATTTACCTGCAAATGCCATGATTTTATTTTCTTTTATTGCTGAGTAATCTTAAAAATATGGAATGAAGGGGAGGGGGATAGTAGAGGATAGGAAAGGCAGCAGAATACAACAGACACTAGTATGGCCAATATGTAAATCAATGGATGTGTAACTGATGTGATTCTGCAATCTGTATATGGGGTAAAAATGGGAGTTCATAACCCACTTGAATCAAAGTGTGAAATATGATATATCAAGAACTATGTAATGTTTTGAACAACCAACAATAAAAAATTTAAAAAATATATGGAATGCTTCATGAATTTGCATGTCATCCTTGTACAAGGGCCATGCTCATCTCCTCTGCATCATTCCAATTCTAGTATATGTGCTGCCGAAGCAACAAGCGAGCACTCATTTTCACTTTTAAACAAGTAACGGGAGCTCTGCAAAGGTTTGAATGTACCTCTGACTAAAAACAAGGAAACCCAATATACCTACACACCAAAACCATAGACAGTACAAAGAAATGCTCATTATAGCTAATGAAATGATTTTTTTAAAAAGTAAAGAAAGTAGATATATTAATTTATAGAAGATAAAAAAAAGGACAAATCCAAAGTTTCTATCTAATCAGAATACATGAGGAAAAAAAGAAGTTCCAGAACTCCCCACCATGTTCTTCCTTATGTCTGAGTTCCCTGAGGGTCATCTGTCTTTATTTATGCTTTTCTAGGCTTATTATTATTATTATTATTATTTTATTATTATTATTATTATTTTATCTTTATTTTTTTTTGTACTGGGTATTGAACCGCTGGGTGCTGTACCACTGAGCTACATCACCAGCTTTTGTTATCTTGTTTTATTTTTTATTTTTTGTATTGAGGATTGAATCCAGGGGAGCTTAGCCACTGAGCCACATCCCCAGCCTTATTTATTTATTTGTTTGTTTGTTTATTTATTTATTTAATTTTGAGACGGGGTCTCATTAAGTTGCTTTGGGTCTCACTAAGTTGTTGACGCTGGCTATGAATTTGTGATCCTCCTGCCAAAGTTTCCTGAGACACTGGGTTACAGATATGTACCACTATACCCTGCCCCTGTTGTTTTTAAATATAAGACAGAGACTTGCTAAGTTGCCAAGACTTCCTGTCCAGGTCTTTATATGTTTTTTCTGTATATGATATTCAGGATTTTAAGTTGTACTTAAGTGGGAGAAGGAGGCAGAATGATTTCTACTACAGTTTGCTCAGTACCAAAACTTGATTTTCATGTTTGACCTAAATATTTAACTAGAAAATGTGACCATACAATTTCAGAGTATATGTTTGACTTTTTAAATACATTGCTAATTTCAGTTATTCAAGTTGTGTTTTTCAATAGAAATATATCAATATTATCTGTGTGCCTTATAATTTTTGGAAAATAAACTTTTATTTTTTTATTCACTGAAAAAATACAAATATCACTAAGAAAAACAATTTCAGCCTTAAGTGGCAAACAGAAAAATTAAAGAGAAGAAAATAAAATTAATAAAATTTAAAGTATTTTGGAATGCTTATCATGTGTGTGAAAATTTAAGAGTCACTCTTTCTGTTGTATTATTTTTTTAAATAATTTTTTTAGTTGTACATAAACACAATACCTTTGTTTTGTTTATTTACTTTTATATGGTGCTGAGGATTGAACCCAGTGCCTGACACATGCAAGGCAAGTGCTCTACCACTGAGCCACAACTCCATCCCCTGGTGTATTATTTAATGAGGTAAGTCTTTATCAAAATACTACTTGTGTTTTAAAATAGTGTTTTATCATAGATTTTATAAAACAAAATCACCCTCTTCTACCAAAGGGTAAATTCTCATATATTTTTAAAACTGATCTTTCTTACATTATGAACAATAAGAACTTCATGAATTTGGCTCTTTTTAAATAGAAACTCATAATTTGAAAAACATTATCAGTTTCAGCATTACAAAAACAATAAGAGGATTGGGGTTGTGGCTCAGAGGTAGAGTGCTCACCTAGCACGCATGGGGCATTGGGTTTGATCCTCAGCACCACATAAAAATAAAATAAAGGTATTATGTCTACCAACTACCAAAAAACAAACCTTTAAAAACCAACAACAACAACAAGAAACAACCACTGTTCTTTCTTCCCTAAACTCACTTCAGCACCCTGTTTTAGTTACACACACACACACACGTATACAGTTTGTGTCCTACAATTATTAGTCTTTTTGTTAGTGTCTTCTAAATGTTGACAACCTCAAATTAACTTTTTCATCAATGAGTATAAGCATGTATAGCAGAGTGTTATTACATACATGGTTCAGGATTTGTGAGTAAGGGGAAGTTTGTGTACTAAAAATCATTTCTAACTGAGGATGATTTGCAAATATTACGTTTTTTAAAACATTTTCTTCAAGACTGTAACAAATATTTTATGTTATTTATAAAAAAAGTAATAAGTTGTTCAGTGATATTTTATTGACTTTATTACATTTCAGAAGGTATTTTGTAAGATTATTGTGTCATGGCAATGAACTGATTTGTCAGAATCAACTTATACATACAGACAGGGAGAAATCACATCTTTCATGTTTTTATAATCTAAAGAGATTATAAGGACAGTCACAAACATCATTCCTTCACTGTATCCAGATCCCATTGCAATGGTATATCTTAAGAACATGGTCCAGCTGCACATCACTTACATCTATGCTGGGTTTAGTCAGTACTGTGTAGTGACAGGGAAAATATGACAATAATGCAATTGGGATTCAAGAAGCTTTGCAAATATTCATGACCTCTTAGAGCTTATCCAGTGGTCATTTGAGAACTCTGTAACAAGTTACTCTGACAAAAGACCACCAGTTGACCCATAGGCATTTGAGACCAGTTAAGATCACCAAAGATGCTTCCTGGACGCAGAGTCAACCACTTAGGCATGCCTGAATGAAGACAAGAATTTCTCACTGATTCACAGGCACAAGCAATAATAAAGTGATGGAAACTCAGGGTGGCCTTGTTATGCAGTGAACATTAAGTGATGCTTGGTGTAGCAGCAGTGAAGAACTAAAATAATTATGTATGCAATTACATAATTAAAAGACAAGTTCATGAATCTCATACTTATCTAAATCGCTTATATTAAAATTCTTAAGCAACAATCATATATTTGTATATCCCTTTATTACATTCAGAGAACATCATTTGCAGACTTCTGCAGAGGATCAGTCTATGAAGGTTTGGATATCCTTCTGTCTTGGGCTTCCATCAGTGTCATGACAAAGGAAACTTGTACACAGTTAGTGCAAAAACAAAAAGCCCTGGTCAATGGCAGTCCCTGCAGTCATATATACAAATTTATTTCCTATTCCCTGGAATTAATGCAGCAATCTGGAAAAGAGTTTGGTAGTTCATCAAAGTGTAAAATGAGTGTTTAAGAGGCATAAAGTGTTTCACATGTGAATAATGCTGCACAAGACGAGCCTGTATCACTCTTCAAAGTAAAATGTTAAACAGATATCGAGTCCCCAAAATGCTGCATTTTGCAATACCATTTTTATAAGATTAAAATGCAAACACAAGAACAATATGGATATAATAAATACCATCTTATTGACATAAATCCTTTTCAAAAATCTAGAGAATGGGTTTACAATTTTGAGCTACATAGGGGATACTTTTTCTTGATTCTTTCATCTACATACAACTAAATAATTCAAAAAATAATCATAACATAACTCTAGAAGATGAATAACACATGGTTAAATTCCCAGGAACCTAAGATTTTAGGAATAACCTTACAGTGAATCCCTTGATTTTTTTTTCTTCCAAAGTATCCCAACTGGATCCCAAACAGCCCTGTAACACATTATTCCCAACAAGTGAAAGATAAAACAATAACAGCAAATGAACAAATAGATCAAACTAATAACTGTTCCCCTTGCCCAGGGCATCAAAAAAGTGTTAGTGCAGCCAAGACCTCATAAACAGACACCCTATTCTACGTGTATGACAGCAGTGTGGTTTCCTGCTCTTCATACAGATCAGCAATGTCCTGGTCTCTGGCACTGATATTGATGTGGTCCTGAACCAGTCCCCGCCAAGTGATATCTCCATTCATAAAAACAATAGAATCAGTGAAGCCTGACCAATGGCCCATTTCCCATTCATCGGAAACTGCAGTGGTCTGATCTACCACTAGCATCAGAGGTATCCCTGCCTGACACTTGGAACAGTAGTATACTGGTCTGCAGCATCAGAACCACCAGGGTCTAGCCAAATCTATGGAGCAGAAGTAACATAATCTGCTGTTACAACAGCTTTAATAGGGTATCCTCTCAGTAATAAGGACAGCAGCAAATCCTGTCTGCTGCAAGGGCAGTGTGGGTGAGACAAACTGACCGGTTATAGCTTTAGGTGCAGCACGCCCATGCAGGCAACTGAGGCAGTGGCATACCCAATTTACTACAGTGCTAGTGACCATGACCACCCTATCCTGAAACTCCCAACCAAAAGCCACCAGTAGCCCAGACAGAATGCATAGGGCTTTGAAGTGCTCAGAAGGGAGTCCAGTTGAGCAAGGAAAATCAAGAAAAACAGAATAAACTTTCAGGGCCCTGGAAATTAAATTATCATTGACTCCACAAGTCACAAATGTGGGCCAGGTCTTACATATTAAAGTTGAGAAGTGGGATTGCACAATGAAAAAGAAGATATAAGCAGTATCAATACTCTCAGAACATATAAAATGTCCATGATATAAATTAAAATAACTCATCATGTCAATCACCCTTGTAAAATGGAATTTGAATTAGCAAAGACAAGAAATTGACACCACACAGATTGATTAAATGGTAAAATACTAAAATGTATTTTTAAAAGTCTCAGCATTTATAAATTCTCTTGAAAAAAATTCAAAAATTGAAAATCTTAGCAAAATAAATAGAAGGTATAAAATAGAACTAACTGGAAATTATGCAATTAAAAATATAACTAAAACTGAAAAAGAAAATCAGATGAACTTAATATTAGAGAGGAAATAAGAGAGAATATAATCAGTAAACTTTAAGACAGAGGAATAGAACTTACTCTGAACAACAGAAGTAAAATAGACTGACAGAAATCAAGTCATGGACTTATAGGACAATAACAAAAAGGTCCCAATGGGTACCATTGAAGTTCCATATGGGGAGGAAAGAGTATGAAACTGAAAAAGAAATAAAGAAATAAGGATTGAAAACTTCCTAAATTTGTATAATGTAGGATAAATCAAAAGAAATCTACATAAAAATTCAATAAAATTAAAATTTTCACAATGAAACACAGAAAAAATTTCAAAAGGGCAAGTGAGAGGGAGCATTATCTCCAGAGAAATATACAATCTAATAA